GGGGGGGGGGGGGGGGGGGGCGACTCACGTACTGGAAGTCCTTCTGTGATTGGCTGTCTCCGTCCATTATTTCAAACAACACATGATACAGTAGCAGCGAACAAAAACGATATGGGGGGACACTCACGTACTGGGAGGTGACTCCCGACAGACCCTGCACCGCCGCCTTCTCCGACAGCGTTGCGGTCGCGGTCGGTGTCGTCGCCGTGGGGGGCTTCTTGACCGTCACCATTGGCGCCACCGGCCCCTTCTTCGCGGACCCCGGGTTAAGGCCCTGGGAGAGAGCCCTCCGCTTGGGCTGCTTGGTTTGCGTTCGGGGTAACCGTTCGTTCGGCGTGACCGTTCGGTGCGACCGTTCGACGTAAAGCGGCGTAACCGTTGGGCGTAGCGGTTAGGCGTAGCCGTTGGGCGTAACGGTTAGGCGTAGCCGTTGGGCGTAACGGTTAGGCGTAGCCGTTGGGCGTAACGGTTAGGCGTAGCCGTTGGGCGTAACGGTTAGGCGTAACCGTTCGGCGTAACGGTTAGGCGTAGCCGTTCGGCGTGTTGTGTTTCATGCGGCAGCGGGGACGCGACGAAATGAAAGGTGTCGATTACACTCTTGATAGACGGCACGCTCGTTTCGACAATAAACACAGGTAGGTTCGTGCCAATACGATGAAATCGTTGTCCGTTTCTCTAACTGTGGATCTTGCTTTGTTTTTGCATGAAATAAAGAGTGTTGCTTCTTATGACAAAAAAGGTTGGATTGAAACTTTGATTGATGGCGCGCTAGTTTCGACGACGAAAACGTCTCTACGAAAGCCTAACAGCGAAACCGATTTCCCTGTACCAGTTTCTTGTCAATTCACCACCGTATTCTCGCCAGCTGCTTCGCGACAACAACTACCCTCGTGCTTTGAAATTTGTCTACGTGCTGGGATCAACATCGCCACAAAAACCAACAACGACCACAGTGGCAGAAAAAAAAACAACGCTGGTGCTTTGAAGCCTGTCCAAATGCTGGGTCCAACAACATCCCCGCAAAAGCCAACAACGACCACATTAGAGGCAACAACAACAATAGCAGTGGTTGCCTTGAAACTTGCCCACGTGCTGGGTCCAACAACATCGCCGCAGAAACCAACAGCGACCGCAACACCAGCAACAACACCGAACACCATCGCAGCCCCCACCTGTCTGTCGTCCATCTCGAGCTCCCTCTCCTTTTTGGCGAGGGCGGCGGCGGCGGCGGCCCCGCTGTTGTTTCCCCCCAGGACGAAGTCGTGCAAGGGGACTCCGTTCTTGAAGCAGCCGAGCAGGGTCTGGCTCTTGGTGTTTGGGGGCTGCTGGAACACCGTCCCCGGGGCGAACTTGACGGCACCATCGATGACGGCGTTGGTTTTGATGATGTGAAGAGGCTGTTTTATGCGGGGGGAGGGGGGGCAGGGAGGCGGTCGGAAATTAAGAGAACTTGACGGCCCCGTCGATCGCGGCGTTGGTTTTGATGATGTGAAGAGGCTGTTTTATGCGGGGGGAGGGGGGGCAGGGAGGCGGTCGGAAATTAAGAGAACTTGACGGCCCCGTCGATCGCGGCGTTGGTTTTGATTATGTGAAGAGGCGCTTATTGTTAAGAGGGGGAGGGGGGGGGGGGGGGGGGGGGGAACCCCAAACCGG